ATCGACCCAAATTAGTATTTTAATAACCCAATAATTGAAAGGTAAAGTAAAAAGGTAGAAAAGGAACAATGAAAGAAAAAAGGAAAGAATAATAGAACTTATAAACCGGTAGAGGAGTCAGCTATTATTAATACCCTTTAGAGATATCCAGTGTAATGGATTAATATCCCCTGTTTGGAAATTTAAACCCATTGTCTAGTATCTTTATTATTATTGTATACATATCTAATGAGGGGTGATAAGACACATCTTTGTTTTATACTACATTTTTGTTTAAAAAGGTGAGGTTAATGTATTGTGTTTGATGTTAATGCTATATTCATTAATATTCATAATAATTTCGATTATATGTGTGTTGATTTTATATTTAAAAAGAATATTTCATATGGATTGATGACATATTGAGTCGAAGGCTTTTGAAATGTCAATAATTACGATATATAGGTTAAATTTATGAAATGTTACTTTTCTAATTTGATTAATTTGTATTTCTTCCTTTATGGAAAGATACAATGTTATGATTGGTGTTATTATCAAAGTCTTTTCTTATTAGGTTAAATAATAAGTTGGTTAGAATATAAATTGATGATGAAAGGGTTATATCTCAATAACCATTTGGTGATTTAGGGAAAGGTATTTAATGTTGGTTGATTTGCAGATTTCAGGAGGTACGTTTGCTGCTAACCATATCTGTTTAAAGCTGGAAATAGAATTTTTGATGTTGTAGTTGGGAATTTTTTAAAAGATCATTTGAAAGATTGTCTGTTAGGGATTTGTGATTTTTGAGGATGTTTATAGCTTTTATGATAGCATCTTATTTTAAGGGAAATGGAGCATGTGTGTTTAATTGTTGAGAAGTTAAAGATTTAATGAGAGATATTTTACAATTGAAAATATTCATAATAATCAATACATATATTTATTTAATCTTCTGGATTGTTAATCGTGAGACAACCAATTATCAAATTATTAATTTTTTTGTTGTTGGAAGATGTGAGAAAGAAAGTGGAAGGAGTTATAAGGTTAATAGGGAATCTGTAAATAAAAAAAGTTACATAAAAAAATTATTCTTGATTTTAAATTGATCTTTCTGAAGTCTATATGAATAATTTATAATCATTAGTGATTTGGTTTAACAAACGATAATTTCTTCCAATATTACAATTGACAGATTTTCTCAAAATATTTTATTCCTACAAGAAAAATATACAAAAAAAATAAATAAATAAATACGTACCGATGATATGACCTAGCGATGTCATGACATAGCGATGACATGACATAGTGAGGACAGGAAAATTATACTATAAATTTGGCCTGGCTATATTTTGCAAAAAATTGGTTTTTTTATTAAAATATTTTTTCCTAAAAATTTGGAATAATTATCATTATTTAAACATCATTATCTTTTGCTTGTTTTTTTGTTATAAATTATTGTTTATAATTGCGAGGGGACTACGAGGGGCTAAATCCCCCACCCGCTGATTTTTTATTTTTAACCTTGATTCCAAATTTTAAAAAGAGCTAACCCCCTCCCCCTTACCCCGTTAAAAATTTTTAATATCATTTCAAAGTGTAAAATCTCTTTCCTATTTATTATAGCCACATAGAAAATAGAGAAGCACAGTTTTATATTTATTTTCATTATTTTTATAAAAATTTTAATCGCCGTCACTTCTGCTTTATTTTTAGCATAAAGTGAAGTTCACCTTTAACATGTATAACTCCATTTTTATCAGGTCTTAAGCCAACTCTAAAAAGGCTGAACCAAATTTATAAGCGAAAGTTATCATCTTAAAAGCTATCAAGGTTTAAACTTAAAGGATAGCCTAATCTTGAAGATATACTCTTGCTTCTAGGCTCAACAAATTTTATCGACTGATAGGATTTAGCCAATTTAACATGCAGGAAATAGTCTAACTAACAAATTTAAATAGTTTAATAGGAATTTTCAGGTTGTTAGTTGTCAGGATTATGATTAATCAATTTACTTTGAATGAAATAATAAACTGCTATATTTTTTTATCAATTTCTTTAGTCTCCTTTTACCAATAAAAATATTATTTTTTTTATTGATTGACTCATATTTAAAAAAAATATTATCAAGAATATGTTGACAATAATAAATAAAATGTAGGAAGGATATAGGCAGAAAATTAATTGGAGGCAAACCCCTTCCAAAATCTATCCTTACCCCTCTAAAAATTTTCCGAAGCCGAGGGCGACTATATTTACTCACTTATTATGTTACAACAACTTCAGGAAATAAAATATTTTATAATGAGCCGCTATTTATAACCTACAAACAATTCTGATTAAAATTTTTAATAAACTAAATGTTACTGTTAAATAATGGAAATTGATTTTTTTTTATATTTAAATTTGTATTAATATTTTATATAACTTTAATTGGTATTATTTGAATATAACCTTATAAATATGTTGATGGAAACTTACGATTATTTTAGCCTGTAACCTTGCTTTTGTTTAATTATTTTTGTAATATATTTTGATACTTTTGTTTAATCAAATTTGTATTTAATATAAAAAATATATATACCTTCACGTATGGAACCATTTTAAAAGAGTATATTATTTTAACTTGTGAAGTATCCTAAGCAAAAAGAAATTAGAATTATAAAGAAAATGTTCATTTGAAAAATATATATTATTTATATGTGAAAGTTGAATCGAATGATGCAATTGATAGATATTATTATGATATCGTAATTGACTGCAGTTGTTATACAATTTTAATTGTAAAAAAGAAAATAACCAATTAAGGTCTATAATAAATTAAACGTATTTTGAAAAAGACTATAATCATAAATTCGAAAAAGGACAATAACGATGCAAAAGTGCAAATTGAGCGATTTAAAAAAGAATAGGGGATATTTAAGAGAGAGAACATATTTCTGGATCAAGTTAATAAGGCCTTTGATTGAAAAAAATTGACGAAGGAATTGGAAATTTTTTAAAAAAATTAAAGTTATCATCAGGATGCAATCTGCTAAGTGCATAAATTAAATATAAAGTTATGGTTCATGTCATTATAAATGTGGTAAATAGTCTGTTGCTACATCTATTTCATACTACAGGAACCGGTAGTGTTCACTAAGGAATGCACATTAAAAAAATAGTTTATTTTAGGCTAAAATTATTTGTTTACAAATTATTGCTAATAGTTACTAGTATTATATCAATTTCCGGATATGAATTGAGTTCATAATAACCTTATAAATAATGACCTATATATCTAATATTATATCATTTTTACAGTTTACTCAGTAGTGTCACTAGGGGGGTGAGCGCGCAGGGCTCAAGCCCCTTCAAAATTTTGGAAATTTTTTTTTTATACCTCAAAAAAAATCTAGGTAGGTTAACTAAAAAAAGGTAGGTAAGTTGCTTAAAAAAGATAATTGTAGAAAATGTTAGTTTAAAATTGGATTTTTCTTATTTTAGTTAAAAAAAGATGGTGATTTTGAAAATAATTTGAATTTTTTTTTGAGAGAACAAATTTTATCCAAAAATACTAAATCAGTAGAGGTCTGCATTTGGGAGGGTTTTTAGACCTTCCATACTTAGGACGTGGTCAAGTATATTTTCAACATTAGGAGGGTGGGTTAAAAAAAATTCAGGTAATGAGTGGGCGTGGTTGGAATTTTTAATATCTTTCAGGCGAAATGAGGAACAGACTTTAATTTTCCAAGCATAATATATATATGTTTGATTAAAAAAACGTGAAAATAAATGAATAAAGAGCCACACCAGCCTTTAATTTTTAAATATTAGGTGGGCGGGCGGGTTAAATAGAATTTATAGATAAATAGGCGTTCGGCTAAAAACAAATTGCCAAACAACGAGTGGGTGGGCTTTTTGGTTAAAAACCCGTCTATTGCAGATCTTTATAGAGCAGCATAACTTTAGGACCTATCCAAATGCGCCTCCCCCATTACTGCCCTAAAAGCTAAGATGTTCATGAATTTTATATTTCCAGTTTAAGTTTAATAAAATTAAAAATTGTTACAGTATCACCTTTTATTTTGTAAAAGTTAAAAAAAATAATTATAATTTAATTTATGCATTTTCTCGCTTAAATATAATGTAAAAGATCTATAATTTAATATTTAAAAAAATTACAATTGTTAGGATCTAATTTAATAAAGAGAAAATAATAAAGAAAATAGAGATATATAAAATAATAATCATAATAAAATTCCAGTTTTTATTATTAAATAATATTTTAAGATAATAGAGATGGCGTTAATTAACAATAAGTTGTTATTAAACCTACTAATTTCATATATATAATACTTAAATATTTAACATTGTTTATAAAAACACATATTTCTCTAATATTCTATGATATAATATTTCTTATTTCTCTTAAAGTAGGTGGGTCACCATTTTAAGTAATAGTATCCCTAAGGCAGTGTTAACACTTTAATAACTTATTTAAAAACTTATACTGACTTTATATTCTTTATATTTAACTTATCCAACCGGATAATTTGTTTATAAATTTAACTGTATTGATGAACTTCTTTAATTTACAATTTACGTATATTCCGTTTTTATAATTGAGAAAAAAAAACTTATATAAAATTTTATTTAAACAATTCATGATAGATTGATTATAACAAAATCATTCCTACCCAAAAGATAGGATACATAACTATAAGTGACATTTCTAGGCTCTTATCATCTAGGAAGAATTCTAAAAGTGAATATTTTTTTAAATATATTTAAACGCCCACAAAAGATGTTATACTTAAATAAAAAATATTTGCATGCTTATTCATCCTTAGCGTCATCAGTATAATATGTGTTAAAAGCTAAGATATCTAGATCAACTGTGCTTTCAAAATATAAAAATTAATTGTTTTGAAAGATGCTCATTCATTGATTAAAAATCATGAATTTTGCATGTTATAATTTTAGTTTATTAAATATGCATAATTATTATTATAATTTATACGAAATATATATATAATGTGGATAAAGGTATTATTTTATAATGCTTCATAAATAATATTTTTCTTTAAAAAAATGTGTTTACATTTGTTATCTTATTATATTTGTATTCTCCAAAAATTAAACCTTGTATTGTATAAACATTGCAAAGGAAAGGCATGATTATATCATAATCTGACAGCAACTTATATCTCCACTATTTTGGTGTTTGTTATCATACTACCTTGAGTGTTAGAAAATATTTTCGAACTCTTTGCGCATGTAGGCATTTAACAAGTAAAAGGCTTCATGGCACTAATATAAAAGTTAGACATAGGAAATTATTACATAACATTTATTATGAATGAGTAAAATATGGGTGGGGGTGGGGCACGAATTAATCATCATTAAAATGGATCAGCTTAGCATGCTTTAAATTCAAAAAATTTACTATTCACAGCTGGGTCAAGCTCGAATTTCTATTTTTGATAATTCTTTTGAACTCGGTCCAAAATTTTTAAAACTTGGTTATTTTAGCTTGCACATTTTGCAAATTGTTTCAAGGAAGAAAATTGAAAATATCAATATATGATTTTCCAGCTGATTAATTGATATAATTTCTAATTTACTTATTTAAAAATGAACTGAATTTTAATTTTTTAAAATCAGCTGGATTTTTATTTTTTAAAATCATTTCATTTTGGGTGGTTCCGGGCTGAGTCTGAAGGTTTTTTTTAAAATCAGCTGGATTTTTATTTTTTTAAAATCATTTCATTTTGGGTCGTTCCGGGCTGAGTCTGCAGGTTTTTTTTAAATATTACTTTTTAAAAAATTGTAACTTTTTATCTAAATTAAGAAGTGCGTATGTGCGTTAAACTAAATATAAAAGCCTCGTCTTTCTTTATTTTATCTCTGCTACCTATTACGCTAATAGGAATATCAAATGCGAAAAAAGTGTTAAATAATTTTTAAACATGGAATAGTTATTTAATAGAATACCTGATCTGTCGAGATTTTCAAAATTCTAAAAACTGTGCTCGTTTTAACTTTTAACTCTATAAAACTTCCATTCGGCATTATACTTTTATTAACGCTCTCAATTCTTCTGTATGGATGATGTTGCAAGATTTCCTAGATTCGATAAATGATATTAGAATGTATTTAATTTTTTAATCATATAATTTCAAAAACATCGTTTTCTTTCAATGCAGTGGCGTAGCCAGAATTTTCTCATGGGGGGGGGGGGTAAAATTTTTTTAGGGGGCTATACCTTTGGCTATGTTAAAATTATTTTAAATATTTGTATATAACAAAATTTTAGAGAGTATTTCATTATAGATTTTATTTATTATAAAAAATACTTTAAACATTCCTTTATTTAATTAATTTATTTTTATTATTTAAAATAAATTTCAAAATGAAGATATTTTATACAGATTATAATATTAAAAATTTTATTAAAAACTCTATTTAAAAAAAATGTAATTTAACAATTACATAATAAGTAATTCTTATGCAAATAATGGTATTTAAAAAAATATGACGATATTATCAAAATATAAATAATACACAGTACCTTGATTAAAAATAGTATTAATTGCATAAATTTTAAGAATTAATACAAAAATTATATAAATGTTATAACTAAGCATTTTTTTAAAAAAAATTTGATTATAAATATTATATATTACTAATATAATCATATTACAATTTTTTGATTTGAATTTATAAAGAAAGGTCTACTTTCCTCTGAGATTTTGCTAATTCATCTAGAATCAAAATTTTATCTAGAATAATCTCCTTATAAATATTTGATAGATCTAATCCATTAAACGTTTTTCACTGGTGGTATTTCTTAAATAGGTTTTTAACCTTTTTAAAGTTAAAAAAGATTTTTCATTAGTGCAGTTACTAATTGATAAGGTAGCTAAAATAATTAAAAATATTTTGATATTAGGCAGGGAATCTAAAGTAGAATTACACATGGAAAGGCCCTGCAGAGCATTTTTTGGTCTCAAAGAATATTATATATTCAACATCACAAAGTAACTTATCATATGAGCCTATTAAATCCTCAGCGTAAAACTCTAAGATTTTCTTAATATCCTCTCGTGTTTCATGTATAATCAACAGTTTAGACTCAACCGGCAAAAGAAAATAAAAGCTTTTTAAAATAAAATTATGCATAATAAATCTTTCCTTTAATTAAAATAAAAATGTACCAATAAGGGGAATAAAAATGTTTATTTTATAAAAATCCTGAATCGTGGATGCATCAATATTTGAGCGATTGGACTGTCTAAAAACATTCTAGGTTTAAAAATTTCAATCCCAAACATATTAGCGATCTCCTTAACTTTCTCGTATATTTCATGAAATTTTTTATCCACATTCTCTCTGATATTTGTTAATATTTCAACAATATCCTTTAATCAATTCATAACCTCCCTTAAACAAATCAATTTTTTGTATCATTTTCTAAAATCATATGTAGCATTATTAAATAAAAAATAAACACATTGAATTGATATTAAAAATTATGGCTTAATAGCTTGCAAAATATTCCCAGCATCTGCTGAATCTTTTTCCTTGTATGTTATATAAAATTCCATTGCTGCAAATATAACATCATATAGTTCAACAAAGAGTTTCACAGACTCTTGTCTTTCAATGAATCTAGTCGGACAAAATCATTTTAGTTTCTTTTTTTGATTGAGTCAACGTCATGATATAGTAGTAGGTATAGGTTATGGCTGTGCTTGACATTTGTTGAAATAGGAATAAATTAATGATTGTTTTTCCATATTGGCAGATATATACTTTTATAAAATGGAATATGACAAACTAGACAAGTTCTATGCGGTGCAAAATAATTTAAAATTTATTTTAAAAAATCAAGATTTTTTTCGGTCTGGCCCAGCCCTAATTTTTTTTAAATATATTTTATATATTTTTAATTTTCATAGCTAATAATGGCGATTTCAAATATTTGGTTTTAAAATATACGGCCTGGCCCGGATATTTTCTAAAAAAAATTTTTTAGGCTCGGCTCCGGTATAAAAATTAAAATACGGCCGCTTAGGGCCAGGCCTGCAGGTCTCTGAAAAATATAAAAATAATCAAATACTGTAGATCCATTATTAATAATAATAAATTAAAAACATAAAAATAGTTGATTTTTAAATTTCAAGAATTTATTATCAATTTAGTAAATTAAAATAAAAGAATTTTAAAATAAATAATTTAATTTGGAAATTTTTTCATTTTTAATGCCCCCCCCCCCATGCCTACGCCACTGACTATATGCTACCTAAAAAGAAATTTATTGTATTATTACTATATAGCATAATTAACTTAATATGGACTTAATTGGACAGATTTACTATAGAGTTTTCAACATGATAACGATGTAATATCATATATTCCTCAAAAAATAAATAACATTTTGACAATGTTTAAAATTAACAAAACCCTATGTCTAAAGTTGTTAAAAAAACTTAAATGATTATTTTAAACAGGATTTTAGCCAAGCAAATATTACCTAACATCAGAGGTTCCGTTAAAACGTGTCATAAAGGTTTGACCCTCTTTTGGCTAAATCTCTAGGCCTAGGTAATATTTTTTTGAACTAAAATTTTGATTCCGATTTAAAAAAAAATAAACGGCGAAATCCAGGTTTTTAACCTACAAGGAGCAGTGAATAGGAATAACGAGAATCTATATTCAATATTTTTTAACATTACGAGAATAAGACTTATGGCCGAACTTCTAATATATGACTCCACTACAAGTAATGTTCCCTCTATTTAAGTATTCACAATAATGTTATAAAATAGTATATAGGGGAGACATGGAGCATGCTAGCCCTAAAAGGCAAACGTTAATAAAATTAAAACTATTTGATAATATTGAATAAATAATATTTCATTTTATTCTACTTATTTTTTTATGCTATACATAAAAATAATTTTTAAAAAATTTTACCTTTTAATAATAATAATTTTTCCGAATAAAATATATGAGAAAGGATGAGCGACACCCGGGGAGAACTTTCCCATGAGGCGCTTTTGAGCTAATACTAATTAATTTTAAATATAAAAATGACAAATATATTATTGCAACTACTTTATTGATAAAAATAAGCCATAATGGAAAAATTATAAAAAAATACCGAAATTTATTGACAATTTAAATAAATCAAGAATGGATTAGAATTGCAATAGGATTCATGCGAAAAAAAGTACATTTACTGGAGAAAGACCCATAAACATTTTAGCAATTGTAATATAGTTTCTTCCACTTTCTTGAATATTTGTCTTGATGACAATTTTAAATCTTGTTGTTTCATTAATCTTGATTTATATTTTAATACTCTTGCATAACTTAAATTTATTTAACGGTTAGCAAGGACGGATTTTCTTTAAATTATTAATGATCTCATCATTTATTAGTTGTTTCTCCTTTCTAATATGATTTCTTTTACCATATTCAAATTTCAATAAGCAAAAATAAATTTTAAAAATAACACTTAAAAAATTTATATGAACCTCTGAAAAGTAGCCCCAGACCCTCAATATCTTTAAAATTTAATTTTATGGTAGTTTAAACATATTTTCTGTTAAAATAATGAATAATTTTATATAAAAAATGGTTTAATCTTTTATAAAAGATAGTTTTGGGATAATTATTACCTTTATTATTTTTGATAAATTGCAGAATTTAAAAAAGTTACTATTAAGGGTATAAATCATATATTATCTTATAAAAATTTTATATGTGATCCGATATTAAAAAAATTATAGCTGCATGTGCATAATATAATAGAAAATTAACTATTAAAGTTGAGTATAGGAGAAAACTCAAGGCTCATAAGAACCTCGGGCTCATAAGATCCCAGATCTCCCTACTGCACGTACTAATAAATTGTATTTATATTATTTATATTATGATAAAATATTATGCAAGATTGTCATTGAAACTTAAAGGATATGAGAGAATAGGGTTGGTAGGGGGGGGGGGTAGGTGGTTTAATTTTGACATCCTTTTTTTGCTAATGATTTGGATTCCCTATTTTTTAAATGAGTTGAATGGAGGGGATAAGATTTTTTTAAAGAAATGGGGAGGGGGAGGGAGGGTGATAAATAGAAGGTGTAGAAGTGCTTGTCTATATACTCTTCGTAAATTTAATTATATAAAGTATAACTCACATGTGCATTTGGCGGGAGAAAATATATTCCTGTTTTATTGATTGCAAGTATTTTCTCGTCCAGTTCTTCTTGATCGTAAGAACACTTAAAAAGCACGATATGAATATTATTTTATGAATTAATTACTTTAACGTTGAAATAAGTACTACCGAACAGTTGGGAAGATTTAAGTAACGATTCCATAAACTTGATGCGCGCTTCGGATGGGCTCAATCTATTAAACTCTTTCCTTATAGTTAATATTATGTTATGCCAATGGTTTTTGTCGAAATACAAATTTTCTAAAAGCGTTTCGGGGAAAAGGAATGAAATGTCATCGAGGGCAGGATGAGATTCGGCCCCACTCGCTCTATGAATCAAGCAAGCGAGTTCAGCTAAGTCGTCCTAAGAATTCATAATAATAATATTAAAAATTTTTTTTAAAGGGGGTATTAAAATTGGATCATCGTCCAATTCATTGAATTTTATTTTTAATCATATGACCTGTCTGCAGGTTTGATAAGTTATTAATGGAAATGATTAAATTTTATTAAAAACCATTTTTAATATACCCACATTAAACCTCTAAATTAATCCATCCCATATCTCTCTAACCTTAAATCCTACATATTTGTTTAATTTTAAATAAATTTTCTTCCAATACAAAAATTTGAGTTGCAAATCCCTTGAGTTGGATTATTATCATTAAAATGAATCTAACAAATTCTTTTCCTCGTTTTAAAGCAGTATCCAAATGAGCGGAGGGAGAGAGGGGTAGGAGCCATTTACCCCAATATATTTTTCAGGAAGCTAGGAGGGGGTAGTGTTCTAGAACGGGGAGGGAGAGGAGTGGTTGAGTTACCTCCAATTTATTTATTTCTCATAAAGAAATGTCTAATGGTTGTGATGGGATTTTTTTTTAAACTAATGAGATAAAACCCATGATCTTGTGCTATAAACACGTACATCACCTTGAACGGGTTGGTATGATCAAATATTATGAAGTAAAATAGTTTACTTCAATATATTGAGGTATTCGTGGCCCGATAGTTAAATTTGGTATCATGAAAATGAGTCCTGCTAAATAGTCAGCTAAGATCTGTTTATAATGAAATTCGATGTAGCATTGACCCATGTTAGCAAAATTAAGCTGATAAGACCACATATTTCTTTTGAAAAATATAAAGTATCCGTTTTTGGTGTCTGGGACAAATTTTTTGTCCAGTTCAGTAGTTACATCTAATATATATTCATCTTTATTCAAATATTCCACCTTTTTAGCTTGAGAAAATACAAAAAAATATTTATTATTTTGTGATAAATATATATCCGAATAATTTGAAATTAAAATATACTTGGGTAGACAATGTATAGAGCAAATTCGGAAGATTCCTTTTTGTCCTTGGCTTCAAGTAAATCCCAACATATGTCTTTGATGACTTTCTCCACAACCTAATATTGTGCAAAAAAAATATATTAGTAATTGTAGATAATAATAATCAATAAAAGATAGATAGATAGATTAGATTAGATAAGATAAGATAAGATAAGATAGATAGATAGATAGAAGAAAGATAGAAAGAAAGAAAGAATTAGAAAGAAAGAATTGTGATATATATATAAAAAGCGAGTTTTAAACATACCGAACTACATTTCAATTGAAAGAGTCTACCACCTCCTCCAGGGATTCTGTAAAACTGTCTTTTAAACGATTTCCCATACTAAATTTTATTTTGAAATTTAAAAAAAATATATTTTACTATAGAATAAAAAGGTAAAGTAAAACTGATAAAGCTAAAATCTCCTCAGCGCTTGGGACGTTTTTGCGACCCGCAAATTTAATAGTCATTTCGTAATTATTGAGACATTCTTTGGCAATATCGCAACAAGATTCATTTCTGTCCAAACTGGTTGATTGAATAAAATTTAACAGGTAAGGACGGAATTTCTCGCTTCCGTTGAAATAAGAAGTCATGATGATCATCGCTTTCCATCCCTTAACACAACTCTCTCTAAATATTTTTTATTTTTAAGTAAATAGTTTATTCTAAATATAACTTTTTTAAACAATATATAAATAATTTTTATCTAATTAATTGATAACCGTTTTTTTGAACAAAGTGATTAGTTCTAGGAAAGATCTTATATGAAATTATAAAATTTTTAAAAGAAATTAATTTATGAAGGTTGTTTCATTTCCCCAAATCAACATAAATTTAGTTTTTAGATGAAACATGCTATTTTCGATATCAATGAAATGTTTCTTAACCATATTTTAGCTCAAGATATATATAAGAATTATAAAACGTGATAAATATGATAATGTAATAGCATTTTTTTTAAAAATAAATCCAATGCCATCACTGGCCTTAACGATCTAAGGGCAAAAATTAAATTTTAGCAAACAATTTCAAAATGACCTCTTTTTTAGCTAATAATTATAAATTTTTAAAAATATTTCAGGGAGCTTTTTAAATTTTCAGAGAACTTGAGCCTCTGTGCACATTCCTGCCTAATGACATGAATAATCTTATCCTCTAAAAAACAGATAATCTTTACTTTGAATCGCTCTTGTTGTTAATTAATTGTTTTATGATTTGGCAAAAGATTTCATCTTGAAGGTCGGAAAATCGGTGGCAAGAAGTGAGTATGGTATAAATACAATCCACTTCTCCAATTTCAGTCCCTGACATGGGATAATCATTCATGTATCGTAATAAAGCTTAAAATTTTTTTTAATAAAGGCTTACATAAATTATATATAATTAGCGACAACATAGTTGGCTCAAATGATGGGGAGGCAATTCGCCTCCATATATCTTTCAGAGGGATTGGGAGTAGAGAGAGCGAGTCCTTCGAAATTTTCTCTCTTTCGCGAAAACGCAGATTGGTAAGACAAAAAAATATGGAGTTTCGTGGATAAACATCACTCGTAACTTAGCGGAAACATGTCTTATTTGCAGTTCTCAATTGGAAGAAAATATCTTTTCATTTTTTAACCTTGCACAGCACTACCCAAGGGACATAAATGGGGGGTTTTTTACCAAGATTAATAGTTGAAGCCACCTGGTCGGATGTAAAAATTTTTTTTACCTATAATAATGACGTTAGACTTTTGTTGAAGCAAAAAAGAACATTCATAATACGCTGCGCTGGATATTTAATCAACCCAGATGCTGGTTCTTCCGAACCCCATGGCTGAATGTGCTAATATATCGCATAAAATGGTCAGATAAACTTGCCTAATTATAAATCTGGGGCTTAAAATTTAACTTTCCGAAATCGGAACGCTTTTTTGAGAAACGGAAGGCAAATTTATGAAACCAGAATTTAATATTTAATAAGAGTTTGAAAAATAATCTTTTATGCCCAAATTTTGAGGCAAAATTCTTTGAAGATAATAAAAATGGAACTTTTTTAAAACATATTTATTTTTATTTTAAATTGAGATTGCAATCATGAAAGATTTTTTTTATGCACAGAATCACAAAAGATTTACTTGAAAAAATTTTATGGAATTTTAGGTAAAATTTGATCTAAAATCATGTTTGAGCATTCTACAAAAAAATTTCCTTTAAAAAAAATTTTCAAAGATTTTGATTTTTTATTATGAAGAGCATTTCAATTTCTGCTTTTAATTTTATAGCAAAATCTAAACAGAACTAAAATAGTAATTTGTATTACAAATTCCGGCCTAATAAATTAAAAGTATCTATGTCTTAAATAGCTTAGGGGCTTGTATCAAAGTCGAATTCTTTTTAAAATAATTAATAAGATTAATCGGAACCAGTGACATAAGTGTAATGTACATTATAATTTTTTTATAAACCTAAAAAGCATTCCAACGCCAATTTACTTTCTTCGTTCGATTTTAGTTTCAATAGGGATCTGTCTAATGGTTTCTTTTTTAAAAAAAAATAAATCGATAATATTAAGACGGAGAAAATTCTTACACATACAGTAAAACCTCCAAAGGCGGAACACCTCTTCATGGTGACAGGAACCACATTATCATGGATCGTATTAAAGATTTTTATATAAAATGTTCTATTAAAGATCTACACATCTCCCGAAGCCCTAAATCTTGGCCAAAGTGCAGAGCTTTAAAAAAATCAAGCCGAGAAACTTGCGAAAAATATTTTGCACAGCTGGTTCGGTTATGATTTTTATATGAACCACATGGTCATACTAACCTGAAACATAATGATTCTTAAAGTGGTCACCATAGAGGTATTTACTGTATCTCAAAAAATATTTATATTTATTTATTTACTTTGATATAAGTTATCAATTTTATGTGTTCCCTTTCGTCAAATTTGCGAAAATCTATATAGCGCATAAATATACATAATATTTTAAAAATATGATTATTAATAAAGATTTTTTTTACATTTCTGCTTTAAGTTTAATAAGCATGAGAGTGTCTCATCTTCTCCGCTTTGAATACATTTTTCGTGCAATAATTCCAAAGATGGATCTAAATTCAACCTGTTATTAAAATATCATTATTTGCTTTTAAACAAAAAAATAAAGAATCAATGAGTAAGTATACTGATAATTAGAAGTGGCGAGTCGGATAACTCCTATAAAATAATTTTACCGCCTGATAAAAAAATAATACGAGCCGAGAAATTAAAAAGTTGATTCTGGCCTCGCCGAACCTTAATATACACCATACAAATTACTTTTTCACTTCATATAACTTCTATATATAATCATAATTAATCCTTACCAATACAATTTAACATAATTTTCATTAATTTTTGAACAATGGTTAAATTGACCCTTGCTTAGTAAGGTGGGGTATTTGGATAGATTTTAGATTGTTATCACAAATTGAGACACATGATTATGGTTTTAAGGGATTTAGAAGATCTAGATTTTAGCAAATAATAAATTATTTTATAGCGCGGATTTTTAATAGAAAACCTCCTTTTCCGGCAAGAATCATGACAATTCCGCCTATTAACTATAAATACTATTTATATATACCTAGGTTATTCATATAAATAGAAAAAATACACAAAACTTTATATATAAATTGTCTAAAGGTTTTACACGACACCAAGCTGGTCTAAATTGAAGTTTAAATAAGTTTTGTATCTATAATCTTTAATAGTAAATAGTACAAATTAAATTATATTTTTCATAAAACACATTAAATAAATTTTGTAAATCAACAATCTTTAATAGTAATTAGCACAATTAATTAATAAATTTTTCAAAAAACAATCTTACATGACCAACCTAGATTTTAGGTTATTCTTATCTAATGATATTAATTCAAATATTATGGTATTGACTATTAAAATACCATTGGTTTATTATAAAATGACTCTTAAAAGACTCCCTATATTGCTTTAAACCTTACTAAAATTAATAGCCTCCATGACCCAACATTATCTAGATGTTCAGGATTAAAACTACAGGCTCCGCCTCTTACTAGTATACTACCTTCCACATTACACATGCCCACTAATATTGAACAGGAAAATCAAAATAGCTATTTAAAATCATCATTTAATAACTTTCATAATAATTTTACCAACTTCTTATAATATTAATATTCAACATGATTCTGCGATAGCAAATAATTCAACATTAAAATTTCTAATTATCCAGATCATTCATTGACTAACAAATTCTTGGCTAAAGACTTCCCCACAACATAATCCAGAATACCCTGGGGAGCAAGATTTGTAACACCATCCTTTGTGGTAAACCTTATCATAAACATTTTTTTAACAATGAACAAATTTCTCATGATGCAGACCAAATTTTCAATGAACTACTTGTCAAACATCCTGCTAGTTAAAAACAATCCTTTCTCATTATTTAAGCCATCTTGAATCAAATTTGCTCTAAACTAAGTGTCTGAAGCTATTATATCATTTTCATTAGACACTGTTATCCATTAATTTTACTATTCTCATCATAATAGTTAATGGGGTCTTCTTTTACTATTCTCATCATCCAAAATATAAAACCAATTGTAATTTTAACCTCAATGTATGGCATTTGGATGATGGCACATTATCCGGTGAATATATTCAACTACAAATTTTTCTTCCCCAGTTATTGATATTTTTACCTATGAGTTTAAAGATAAAATCTTCCTAGGGTCAAAAATAGGAGGGGATCTACAGGCATCCAATCATTTTTAGAATGCAATCTGATTAATCTTTACTCAAAAGAAATTTCAAGAATTTAACTTCCCAATAGGTGTTTTATTTAATTTAAAAATTTTAATATTCCCAAAATACAATATTCCACTTCAAAAAATATGAAGAAAATTTTTAATCTATATATGAGAACATAACTTTCGAGCCACAGTAGTACTAACCTTCGTTCATTGGTAATGGATAAATCAGACCAAGCATGGTTAGAAGCTTATCCAAGCATGTTATATAAATATCTATTGACTAATAAGAAATTTATATGTGCTTTGGCTATAAGAGAGCTTAGACATATCTTTACCCTACAATTGTAAAAGATGTGGGTAATGGTTGATTCTAAAGATAGACATCCACTCTATTGTCTTATGAACAGATGGAAATATGTATGGCACAAAAGAATGAATAAAATAATCTATTTATTCATTATTCAAAGCTGATATTCTTTCACTTCTCGGACCACGAGATGCTTCCGTTATTAATAACTTGTGACCTGTTGGACATATGTTAACCCCACGGAATAGAGGAAAACACATGTATTGAGACTTTACATGCATCATTTTCGCCCCATCTAATAATAATTACGGTCCATTAGGAATAACGGAATCCAAAAATATTCACATCTAGCCGACAACAATAAATTTATACCCAATGTGAGATCAACAAACTGCTCATTTGGGAAAGAGGCTAAATCCTAAATCAAACTAATTAGCCAGAAGAGCCCTACAAAACCAAACTCGAGGTCTCTTTGATCAAAGAAATATCAGTTTCAAAATTTTACATTACAATAGTAAATTATTTAAAGATTCATGGACGTCATCAGAGGAGGATGACTATTTTTAACCACTTTTTAAAATATTTTTTTATAAATATTTAATATAAATTTTATTTCTAAATATGTTATATTATAAATTTTAATTTTATTTCTAAATATGTTATATTATAAATAGTTTACATGTTACTTTTAATTACTTTATATAATATCGATTATTAAATAAATAAAACACAAATATTTTTATAAATTCTGGAACAAGATATCGGTAAAACAAAAATCTTAATGTTTTAAGTTATAAAAATTTGCTAAAACCAGAGTAAAAACACGAATTTGCGAAACCCATAAACTAATAAATTTAGGGTAGCATATTTTCAGTAGCCATCTATACAAAAACTCATAAAATACCCCAAACCTTACGCGTTATATTTTTTTTCTTTACCCTTTTTTATACTCAAGTGATAAACCATTTATAATCCTCTCTTACTTTATCCTTATCCTATTTTTAAGGTTTTATTTATTATAATAATATAGCATATACTTTTCTAAACAAATTCTGAAATTAAGAAGGGCGTAATAAAAAAAGCTGTGCGGATTGGAGGAATTTAGGCAATATGAATCGTATACATTGATGTCATCCTCGATGATCTTCGGCGATCCATTCGTAAAATTATTATTGCTGCTGTAATTGCTGAAGAAGGAATGATTTAAATCCTTGTTGATAGGGATATCTCTCCAACTGTTTTTGTAAATGTTCCTTTCATCGTACTCCGTAACATTGTCTGCCATCGCGTTATCATAACTATTGCTACCATTATGATTTAAACCGTGGCCGTTTCCATTCCTATGATTATTATAATTTTTCGTTTGCAAATTTTGGGAGGGTGGATTGCTGAATTTCTGAGGGGGACGGGTAAAATTAGAATCGTGATGCTTTAAATCGTTTGCTTTGGACAAGACGCTATCTTTGTGAAAAATAGGTGGTTCGGCTTTGTGACTCAAGTTGTTTCCGTTATTTTGATTTGAGTAGCTTTTTACGGTTTCAAAATACGGTTTCTTAGACCCATCGGTCTCGAATCTGTAAGTGGTATTAGATTTTTCGTTTCCGTTTGAATGGTATTGGTCATGATTATTGCTCCAATAATTTTGAGGTTTGATTAGCGAGTGACGGGTCGAACTTAAATCCGAAGCCTTGTCCGAAATTTCCCCTTTCCAGCCTGATTTATATCGATTATTTTTGTTGTCAACGTAGGGGCCGTCGTTTGGAAAAAGTTTTATAGAACTTTTGCTAAACTAATTTATAATTATCAATTTAAAATTTTTTATAAAACCTTGGTCTAAATTTATTCTTAAGCGAGAATTCGTTTGACATCTGCCCATTAAGAAAGATTTCTAGGCATAATCAATTATATTTAAAATAATCGGTATACGTTATTTTTCATGCTTAAATTAGAAAAATATTTTAGACCTTCCAAAATAAAAACTGAGCACTCCTCTGTCTATATATCGACGTTAATGAATCAGGCATTGAGGGAAATTATTACGAATAAACTGTCCCGTCCCCCGCAAATAAAATTAAAATAATATATACCATGCCACTTTGTCCGAGCGCGGTGAATGGGTGTTTTAAATGTAATTGATCGCTGTGATGTCTCCTCCGTTTGTCTTCGTCGTACACCTTTTGGTTTTGAAATATAGATGGAGGGGAGGCTCGCTTATCATTATGTACAATGGAGGATGTCTGAAATGGATCTTCAGTTCTGTATGAATTCCCATTGGTCCACCCATTCTGAGTAGGTGGTGTGGGAGAAGGTTCTTTCCTACTTTTGTTAAGTCTCCATCTATCCTGGTTTCTAAGCTTGGAATTTAAACCGATATTTATCAAACTTTTCATCGAATTGGTGCGTAATTTTTGAGAAATACTATTATGTTTGTTTTGATATGGCAGGGTGTCTTTAGGAGAATCGCTCACTATAGAATCTCTTCGAGATTTACGTAAGAAGTTTAGTTTGTTGGCTGTTTAGTATGTTACAATAAATTATATTTAATATTTATAGATAAAGAAATCTTATTTTTTGTCATAAACATAATGTCTTTTTCCCAAGATTAAAAAAAGGACGCTATTGTACTTTAAGGAAGATATATGCGAATTAGAAGAAGTTTCTAGAATAGGACTTCTCCTTAAACTCATAAAATTTTTAATCAAAAGATTTATGGTATGAAATTAAAAGGGCGTTGTAAGTGATAAAGTTATAGAGAAGGGGGGGGGGGATATTGTTTACCTATATTTTAAAGGACAAATATATGGTCAATATAAACATAGATTTTAAAAAATACCTAATTTACTAAATTTTGCATTTGAATCATCGAATTTTAAACTCGAATCCTTAAAAATATAATTAGAGGTATCGTTATGATTATTGCGTTTTTTGTTGGCTTCTAGAGACAATTCAATCAATTTAGTTTCCTTTAAGAATGCTGTTATTATATCGTTAATTTCGTATACCTTTTTTAAAAATAAAATGATTTAAAAAAATGTGTTTAAAAAAAACTCCTTATAAATTTAGTATCCTATACTTAAAAAAATTAAGCCTGCTCAAATTATATGCATGCGTGTTTATCTTTGTCTATTTTTCTGACGACCCCAATTGTTTGTATAATATATATGTGGTATGTAATTTTATTAATATAATACCTACCCATTGAGTATGAAGAATTAACGATTTTGAATTTTTCAGTAAAATTTTTATCGTGTTTAATGTTGTTATTTGTATATCGTTTATCGAGTCAAATCTTTAGACATTTATCCGAAAGAAATAAAATATATAGATATATGTTATAATTTGGGGAAAAAACGAGATTCTACTTTTCAGAAAACAGTTGGGAGACTGGGGTTAGGTAAACCCCGGGGCTTGGCAAACCACTTAATCTCATTTTAAAATTAAATACACCAGAAGGTTAAGATTTTATCCTAATGTAGTTTTCATTAGTATACATCTATTGACAAAATATATTTTAAAATAATTAATTACTAAAAATTTTATTTAAGAAATAAAATTTTGATGAAATTTTCAAAAGATTTTTACATGACAGAATTTTAATTTTAATTTTAATTAAAATATATGATCATTTATATGTAAATTAAATTTTATTACAAAGTTTAAACATTCTTCTATAATTTGGGTAAGTTTTATGAGTATTTATCAAATCTAGATATTATTTCAATCATGATTTGTCAATCTAGAGCTAGCGGGGTTTGCTTAACCATACACGTCAATTATAGCAATTAATAATGAAAAAAATTTCAAAATCTTGAAAAGGCAATTTCATGGCTGTTTATGATTGGTATTTAGAATTTATGCTAAGAAATCTTAATATCTCCTTAAAATTCATATTTTTTTATGCCCAAAATGTTTAAAATTAGCCAAAGTTAAGTTTCAATTTTTATATATAATTAGCTTCAATTTATAAGTATTATGATATTTTGAACAATAAAACAATAAAATTATTCTATACATATCATTATTAATAAATAAAAATGCATTTCAATTTATGGCCTAAAAACCAATGGTTTAGGAAGCCCCTTGAAGTGGTTTGCCTCACCCTGCTATTGGGGCTTGTTGAACATTTCTTTTACAAAAAATAAAATTAAAAAAAAATAATTATATTCTTAAGATTATTTATAAGGCACCTTTATAGAGTATAGTTTTAGGTATCCAATCATATATTATTTTTTATATTATCTATAAAACAACAAGAGCTATAGCCAATTTTGTAAAAATTGGTTCGACTAACCCCAGTCTCCTCTATGTAATATTGCATACCACGCGCAGTAAAAGTCATTTTAAAAGAAGCAAAAATTCGAGAAATATTGAAGTTTAATTTCTTCTGGTATTGTCATATTAAAATATTAGAGTCTTTCATCTTTAAATTGTATGTTTTATCTGCTTATGAATTTAACATATATAATTGTTATAGCTTTTGGGAAAAATTGATTTTATAAGGAAATTTTAAAATTTAAAAAAAAAAGGAAAGGAAATATATTATAGTGTGTAAAAGCCCTATCCTATAAATTTGGACTATTATGCCATAAACATTTGTGCACCTTTAATATTTTTTTAAAATCGATATAAAATACATCAAAATTATTAATAAAAACCGTAGGACAGTTATTTTACACATCTAAAATATATTTTTAGTAAATTCAGATTTTTTCTAATTTAAAAATCGCCATGGTGGATGATTTTAAATTGAAAAATTCTAACTCGCATATTCTTAAATAAGCTTATAACATATACAATATGTTTTTTTTTAAAACTGAATCTCTCGTGGTTTAATCTGTATAAATTGTAAATTCTTTTCTTCTGTTTTTTAAAAAAAGGAACTTATAAATTGTTTTGAAAAAATCAACGAAAATTCTATATTAGAATTAGAATTTATATATCATATATTAAGAATATATCTTACCCGTGACTTTCTAATATGTTCAATTTTTCGCCTTCGTAATTTTCACGATGTCGATTCACTAATTTGATACCCGAGTGACTTATGGCTAATAAATGATCTCTGCCTCTTAAACTTTCGCACTTTAAATATAAGTATTTTTGTTTTGAATTTTTTGAAGGTGATAATTTGCATTAAACAATAAAAGGGAAAATTAAAAATTCATGAATGTTTGGAAAAAAAATTGATAATTAAAATTTTTGAACAAATTTACCTAAAAATTTCAAATATTTTTTGCAGAAAATATTAAGTAAATATTTTCTAATTTTAGTTGGTAAAAAATTGTTTAATGAAATCACAAATTTTTCTTAAAACTCTGTTTTGCCTAATATTTTTAAAAAAATCTGCCTGAACTCGTTTATGGATTTCTCTTTTTTTGTCTTGCTTTTTTAATTTAAGAGTAATGGGCGTTTTTTTGGAACCATTTTAATCTTTCTTTCTTTATTTATTTCTTTCTTGTCACAATATTTTCAACACAAATTATTACATGTAATATAAAAAATGGAAAAAGATGAACAAATTATCTGCCCCCCCCCACACCCTGGTAGTTATAATATTTAAATAATAGGCCTTTTCATAAATTCCCCTTTATGTATACTATTTTCTCACAAATTTTAATTAGACATCTTGTCACAAAATAAATGTAATCTCTTTAACTTCCTCTATAACATTTCCCCATCTTTTGTAATAAAATTATGCTTCAAATTACAAAGTTTAAATTCTGTATTATTATATAATTGCTATTTTGTTTGCTATGTAATTTTTTATAAATGAAAATATTTTGACTACCTTTTTTTATATGCATAAAATTTGTAAAAAATGGAAATAAGGTAAATAAGCAGCGAATATACATTATATATCTTTTATTTGACATTTCTCTTACTTTTTCCCTAAAATATCTCAATATCTAGAGTATATAATCCTTTAAAATTTTTATTTTTTTTATACTAAACTCTCGTATAAGTTATATATAAAAAAATTAACCATCCAAACCACCCCTTTCTCCTACCACCCTGCTCTATATTACGATTTCAAAATAATGTTTCATACATAACTGATTTTAGTTTAAAGTGATCATAAAATAAAATATAAACATCAGAGTTTGAAAAAATTTTTTTTGACTTGCATGAAAATTAATTACAAAAGATTTTGGCATTTTTAGATTAAATTTGATCCAAAATCTTTCTTTTTCAAAAAAGGGTCAAAATTTTTTTTAAAGATTTTTTTTTCGAACATTGAAACTTACTTTAACATTGGTTAATAAAATAAGTGCCTCATTTAACGAAAAAAAATTGTTATGTATTATTTCAGTATATATTTAAAAATTAAACAAAATTTCATCACTTACGCACACTGGGAAAAATCGGTTAAAATACAAAGGTAGGATTTTAGCCTCTTCTATGATCAATTTCAGTATGGTTAACTTGATATCGTAGATCCTATTTATGTCAATTCCGTTATTTCCTTTTTATTATGATAAATGAATAATAATTAAATCAATAAAACAAAAAATATCTAGTTTACTAAAAAAAAAATTTAATTTTAATAAAAGGTTGAATTATTTTTCACTTTGCTATCTCGAAATGATTTGTTTTACAAAAAAAAACGACTGTTATCTTTAAAATAACAATTATTTAAGAGAATAGAGGGAAGGGGGGGGGGATGAAAAAGAAAACTTTTAACCCTGACCAATATTTTTCGAAAACACGAATTTCGGAATTCCCTCCCTCCCTTCCTTTCTTATTCTTATTTTAATAATAAAAACATACATCTTTTTATACTATAGTATAGGTGCTTATTGTAATAATAATAAAATATTTGAGAGTTAAAATAAATGTTTTATTCTTCCTATATTTCTGACATAATTTATGAAAATTTTCTAGGTAGCGCCAGAGCTCTCTATCTCGGGGGTGTAGAAACATATTGACAAACAGTTTTAATTATTTATGCAAAGTTCTTTTTTTTTGTCAAATAGGGTGTGTCCTAGTTTAAATCTTTTAGCCCTAAGCTAAACAGAAATAAGTATCAAAAATAAGACGAAACATAGGAAATAGTATTTTTAAAATATAATTTAGAATATTTATTTTTTTCCTTATAATATTTATTGTTTATTCATAAATTTTTAGGATTTTTTTCGTTCACTTTCTTAAATGTAAGAATAAATTTCTGAGAGAATTTAAATAGAAAATTAAATTTTAAAGAAATGGTAGCAAATTTATTTACAAGATATCAATATAAAAGTAATTATAAAAGCACAATATTTTACTTAATCATATATTCCATAGGGAGTGGGTTCAACCCTAAAACTACCAATTGTCTTGTCTATAGCCCTGAAAATCATCATAATTCATAAAATAATTTACTTTTAATATTTGAATGGGTATTATTTATAAAACGGGCAAAATTAATCATTTATTTTTTATAATAATTCATTGAAATATAGTTGATAATAAATTTGACTTTTAAAAATTAAAGGAATAATTTAGTCTTGTTGTTATCTATAAAATGTGTATATTTATTTTTATTCATATTTACATTAAAGTATTTAATTTTTTTATTCGCTGATAGTTTTATTCAAATAATTTATTTTTTAGTAATATTATATTTTTTTTCATTGAAAAAGGTGACTATTACTGAAAAAACTCCAGAAAAATTATCAATATATTGTATATTATTTTATATATAAAATATTAATAATTTAATTATATATTTGTGAAAGAAATAAAAATGGATTAAGTAGGTATGTGCAATAATAAATATATGAATAAGATATATAATTATATTACGTGTAGAACGCACTAACTAAACAATTACAAAAAAGTTATTAATTATTGTTATAAATGTTTTTTTGAAAAGTCACAAGTTAATTACTAACAAATACATTGAATATAACATATACACATGTTAAAGTATAGTGGAATAAATAGTAAATGTGTTAACAGATATAAGTATTTAAACATATAGACTTAATTTTTATGTTAAATTTTTAATTTGCTTAAATACGAAATGTATAAATCTATATTGTTATTAATTGTCCGGAGAAATTATGAATTCATAATGAGTCCTTTTATCATATTAAAACTTTAAAATAGTGAAATTTTATTTTTTTAAAAAGGCCTCATTGTGTTCTATTGAGGATGATCGTATTACATAAATGTACAATACAACTTTATGTGAACGACAATGAGCTGTCTTCTATTTTCCTCAACAGTAGAACTGCAACCGAAGCGAAAGTGAAGTTGAGGTATTAAACAGTTTAAACGAATACCAATGTACAAAATATTAATTACTACGCTCAATAATGGATTATCAAATTGGAACGATATAATAAGATCTTATTTAAATCTAAAAAAAAGCCCACGGAGTTATTATTGTACAATCAAAAATGTGTCGCCCCTTTTTCTCTTTTTTGGCTTGTTAACAGCCATACGTCCCACTTTAGGTTGCGGCCCTCCGCTAAATTAATTTATGTTACACGGAAAAAGGAGAATAGATGCCCAGAGAATTTAAAATTCCCCCCAAAATCCCGCAAAAATGTCAAAAATCATAAAATTTTATAAGATGCTAATTTTAAGAAATTTTAAATATATTTTTATGTACTATATATTTATCTCGATATTATATTCATATTTCATCAAATTTTTGATACTTTATTTTCCACTATTCATTCAAAGTAAAAAAAATAACTCTGATTGCGAACTAAATATATTATAAATATTAAATCCAAATATGACTCAGAATAACGAATATTGTTGGCTAATATAATAAATCCAGTGTTCATTTTTGCAAAATTTAATCTATAGAAAGGAATCTAAATAAGTTATAGAATTTTTTCTGCTAGCAAGCTGTAACTACAGCTAAAAAGTTGCATAGAATCAATAACTATATAGTGCTACAAATATATTCAACATATTAACGAATAAAGTAAAGCTCAAAAAATTATGTATTTTGTAGTAGGGACAATCTTGTTAATAGTGTTGTTAAACGGCTCATTTTGAGCCGATTTTTAAAAACGGCTAACTCAATATTTTAGCCTAAAAAATATAGCCTAAGCCTTGAGATTTCGCTAATAGATGTCCAAACCTTTGTTCCTTCTACAAACAAAATCTTCAGGCTTGAGTTAAATTATTCTGGATGAAATAGTGAGTTAGCCGTTTTTAAAAATCGGCTCAAAACGAGCCGTTTAACAACACTACTTGTTAAGAGCGTGGGGAGACCGGGGCCATATGGCAAGGTGTTTTACTCATTTACGATTAAATTTTAATTTTATATTATTAGATAAAACATATACCAATTTATAGCCTCATTATTACTACAAAATAAAAAAAATCCCGGGCTTCCTACATTCTATAGAATGGGTGCTATTAAATTTGAATTCGTACGAATAATAAAATCTACTATTTGTTTCGAATAATTTTTTTAATAAAATGAATCATACTCAAATATATTGACAAATTTTTTTATTACAAATTTGATTTTTAACAGAAAAAATTATAATAATAATATGTAATCAAGAATCTGATAATAAATAATATATAATCAAGTTATAAACAAAATTAAAATGTATATTATTAATTTAATTTATAATGCCAATTTTTAAGGCAAAGAGTTTTTCTTCTATTTTCTTCCTTATATGACATGCCGTTTTTTGACAATAAATTAGTTCCAACTGAGAAAAGCCTTTCACAAGCAGTTGATGTTCCTTGTAAAGATAGATAATCCCTTGCCATTTTCGAGAGTATGGGGATCCGATATGCATTTGCCTTCCACCACATTAACGGGTCAGCATCACTCTTTGCTCTTGGTTCACTCAGATAAAAATTTATTTCACACAGTTTAATATTATTTTGTTTAAAAACAATGTCTAGCCTGTTTTGTTGAATTTTATCCTTATTTGTTTGACAGTTATAATTATGAGCTTATAAAAAAATCATATTTAAATGGGGGTATATTAAATACCTGTATATCTATTGTAAATCTCTTTAAATTTGCCCATTAACTTGGATATATCAATATCATAATCAACAGATATTGATTTAAAATATTATACTTTAAGCCTGGGATCTAATATTGTGGTAATTATTGCATCATCGGCAGTTAAATTATAATAGCCCAACAATTTATCACATGCTACTTTGAAACTATTGTTAAAGGATTTATGGAAACCAGATTTTTCATTTTTTAGATGTTCAAGAATTAAAATATAATAAGGTATAACCAAATTATAAGTAGGATAATTCTCCCCACATACCATATTTGTAGTTTCATATAAAGGCAATAGGATAGCTTTAATTTTTATAAGATCCTCCCATTCTTCCTATATGTTATCAAAGTATTATATTATTACCTAATTATAAATTTTAGTTTACCTCTGATATTTGTTTTTCTTGAAGAATTTTAATATTAGTTATTACTTCATTAACTAATTTTGTTATAGCAGGTTTAACAATAAGCCCCTTTCAAACATTTGGTAGGTGCTATTCCACCTTATTTCACAATCCAATTTTGGTTTTAAAAAATTTAGGGAAGGGTGTAGGGAACTACATATATTTTTTAATAAATTTAATATTTTAGGGGAATTACGAATCATTCTAATAATGTTTCTTAGTTTTAGAATTGAAGGATCTAAAATTTTTAAAATTTCTTTGTATATTAAATTAATTACATGGGCAAAGCATCGGATGTGCCCTATTTTTATTAATAGATATTTTAAATAAAATGTATCAATAAATGTTTTATTATTAGTTGCATTATCTAAAGTTATATAAAAAATTTTATAAATTATAATTTTTAATTATTTTAACAAAGGCTTTAAATATATTTTCACCTGAATGTGTTTCATTTATTGGACTGACATCCAAAATTATGTTATTTATTTTAAAATTATCATCAATAAAATGGGCTGTTAGCCATAAAAAAGGAACCTGTGTTGGGCTAGTCCAAATGTCAGATGAAAAATTAATCTGACTTTTATTTTTATATATTTTTCCTTTACCAATTGTTCTTTTTCTTCAAATATATTATACATGTGCAATTTAAGAGTATTGGAGCATATTGATTTTACAGAACAATCAAGATCACTTATAAAATTTTTAAAATCATTTGAATTAATAATTTTAAAAGTTATATTATTATTTATAAATAATTTTAATAAATTATCCTTAAAATTAATTTTTTTTGAAGAATTTGGTGTAGACTTTATTAAAATGTCAATACTAAGGTGTGAATGAAACCTATTATAATGATTAATAAGAGGAGATGTTGTTTTGCCTTTACATTTTATAATACTCTTGCAATGATTGCAAGCAGCCTTTTCACCGTCTTTAAGAATTTCATATTGATCCCATATGATTGGTCTCTTTTGTGAGGAAATTTTCTCATATTCAACATCAAGCATAATTTCATCAGAAGCATTCTCCTCTAACATAATTAGGCTAGCTAACAATAATTTAATATATTTTTATATACCTCTGGTTTGTGTAATTTTTAATATAATTTATTATGAGATTTAAAAAAATAAACTTTTCGTGAGATTCAAAAAATGTGGCAAATAAAAATTTAAATTTTCACTTCAGAAATTTTTAAATTTGTTAGAATTTTTATACACAAACACATCACCTGTCAGATTGGCAGGTCAACAAATAGAAATGACAAATGTTAGATTTATTAAACAATTTATTAAATATTACGAATAATTCGTTTTAAATGATTATTCGTATTCAGATAAAACAAATAATTTATTCTTTGTATTCGTAATTAATCGAATTATTTTTGAATACTTACTCCGGGGGTAGTGAGTTAGTTTAAAAGATTCTAGAAATATTTTCAGTAGGTGGCCTAGACACTGAGAAATATGGCTTTTAAATTTCGTTTAATCTGGGGATTACTTTTGACTTAAAGATCTTTTCGTTTTTTTACTATGTTATAATTTATATTACATGTATAAATTCCAATCTTTCTCTTTCTTTTTGATCGTTTTTACATTTTTTAAATTTATTTTATGAAAATGCGGTAATTATTTTGTTAATTTTTCTCCCTTTTTGTCAATGGGAATATAAAGTAGATTAACTATAAGAACATGAAGAAATATTATCATCATTTAATAGCTTTTCAATATCACATTCATAATTCGAATTTAACTAGTTAAGGAGTCTAGAAAATTTTAGATAATATAATATGACCTATAAATTTCTTTTAATCTGAGGGAATAATTCTATTTCACAATTTATTCTAAACCGAATTAATAACGAATTTAAACATTAATTGCCTGGAGTCACAAAATTAAGTTGCAAAGAAATATAACTGTAATAAAGTAAATCATCGAATCTTATCTAGCATCTTATCTTATCTAGCACGTTGGTCATAGACCTGCCCAAATTGAGCGAACATAAATTTTATGAAGGCCCACCCTTCATAAAATTATGCCGATTTTTTTTCTCAAGGATACCAACAAACCTTGTACCCAGTTATAGTTTAACTAAATGAGTGGAACTTACCCTTTCCGATATTGTAATATTAATTTAATAAATTATTATTATAAAGAAATATAAATCTTATCTGTTTTTTAGTCTTGAATAACCATATTCATGATAAAGAGTGAGTTAAGAATATTTGAATCCATAGACATCAAAATTCTATTTCATTTGTTAAGTCATATTCTTCCAAAAAATGAACCGGAAAATCTTCGCCATTTGGGATGGATAGATGATCAAATATAAAAGTTTCATTTCAAATTAAGTCCATATGAACAAGTCGTAAATCATCGAATAATTTATATAAAAAATTGAAACTAATTTTTTTTAAATTTTGACTTGTAAAAATATAACTATTATTGAAATGAAGATTGATAAATATGTAATTTATGATTAGAAATTTAATTAAAGTTTTTTTTTCGCAACAAAAGCGTTTTATATAATGTGATAACGTTTGTCCCTAGTAGTACATTTTAATCTTTAAAATCCCATAAGCTAACTTATAAAATATGGCAGATCTATTGTTAATTAAGAAGTATATCTATCACATCTGCTTGAAACTGTCTTATGAAAATAAAATGTTTATAGGATCTTAATAGTTTTTAATTTATAATATTAAAATTTAAAATAAAATCATTTGGGAATTATATAAACCACGAGTCTTGAATTATAAATAGGGATATGTAAAAAAAGAGATAAAAACATAAAAAACAAAGAAATTTTTATTATTCAAACATAAAAAACAGGGGAGAAAAAACAAGCTTAAAAATGATTTTAAAGAAATGTTAGTTGTCTTTTATCAAGGGGTATATTATTTTATTGTATATATTTATATTTTTCTAATATTGATTTGTAAAACATGCTAATATAACACTATATAAGGGTTTAGTATAATTTTCAGAATTAGAGTATCCGATAACCTGGCTAACTTCACGTTTAACAAGTGACGTCATAGTTTTAATTTTATTTTATATCTCGGTTTCTTATAAAATGTTTTTTTAATATAAAAAACTAAAAAATAGTAAAATAAAAAAAACAAGAAAACCATCCATATCATTATGGATTGTAGTATAGAAATTAAAATAAAAATTGTAAAAAAAACTGGAAAAAAACAATTTTTGATTTTGTTTTTTGAAAAAAAAAACACAGTTTTATTTTATCATCCCTAGTTTTATATCTTAATAATATTATAGCTTAAGAAAAGTAAGTATAACAGTTTGGGACGTGACCTAAAAAAATAATATGAAATATTTGCTAGAAAAATTCATCAAAATATTCTTAAAAAAATACATATTTTTTCAATTATAGTACAAATAGAAAATTTTCTATCAGCTGATTCATTTCAATTCGTATATTTTAATCACGACCCCAGATTGGTAAAAAAATAATTAAATTTTATTAAAAATCTTAATATAATATAACCATAACCTCATATCTCTTCAAGCCCTCAATTAACGTTAACCTATATCTCTCTCAATCTATAATCCTATTCCATATTTCAGATAACTTATTTATATTTAATATATATACCTCCAATTAAAATATCTTCAATTGAACATTCAATGAGTTCATTCAGCTATTATTTGTTTTTATTTCAATTTAATTAATTTTACTAATGAATGTCTTCAATTTCATAGCTTCCTTTTCGCTCATTCTCGAGTCATAATTTTCCGAATATACATCTTGAATGATTTGTTTGACGATATTTCGCAATTCGATTATATCATTCACTTCTTCCATTGGGGAAAATACCTTTGGGTATAAATTTTTCAAAAAGTTTAAAATTACCTAAAAAAATCTGATAATATATAATTCAATATTTTATGCTATTCTCATATTTTCATTCTCCTTTTGAACCCAAAATATACTGTGATCTTAGAATACCAAATTATTTTTAAAAAACTGTTTACTGCCATGCCCTATATATAGATGGGGGAGGGGGTGGGGTTATGACACAATATAGATAACATTATAGGGTATAGTTGTTTCAATCAGACATTTAGGTCGATCTCATCCCTATTTATTTTTTAAAATAATTAATTTTATTAGTCATTATTGAAATACTCTTATGTATATATAGATAAAATAACATTTTTAATAAATATATTTACGAGTTATATAAACAAAATAATCATAAGTTTTTCATATATTTCATTTCATCAATGTTTCCTTAGATTTAAATTTAATATATGGATAACAGATGGCCAAAGTATTTAATGTCATCTATAATATAATAATTATATTCATTTTAACAAAAATAATTTTATAAAAAAAAATTTATATTTAATGACCTTAAAATTTTAGATTATAATATTTAGAGTTTCTTTGATTTGAGTTACTTGATATTTTAAAGATCTACATTATTTTCCAAAGGAACATCACATCCCTCTTTAGTAGTGTTTTGAAAAAGCCCGATAGGGTCGATTTTTAAAAACGGCCCGATTGAGATCTTAGCCAAAATAATATTATGTAAGCTTCGAGATTTGGCAAATAGAAGTCAAAACATTTCTGCTATCTATGAGAAAAATCTCTAGGTTTACATAATATTATTTTGGGTAAAATTTTAATATGGCCGTTTTTTTTAAAATCGGCCCAAATTGAGAATTTAAACTACAATACTCTTTGGCCTGGTAGTAATCGTAGCGCCGTTAAAATGGAAGTTCTGATTAGGAATAGCCTCGGAAGAGGCCATATACCTAAATCATAAGGTAACTACCTTCTATTAGGATCGCAGTCTCATTGAGTTAGGGGAGAGGAGGAGGAGTGATGTGCTATAAATTTTGCACAAATTTTAAAAATCCATACTGGGTTTGGAATTCGAGGGAAAAGGGCATGGCGTATTTCTTTCTTTATATCTTAAACAATAAAGTTGATGGAAAATATTTCTAATTCAAAAAACTTACCTCGGAGATCATAAATCAAACAAATCAATCAAAAAGAAATCCCTCCTCTTGTTTTATTATTTTTGAATTTTTTTTTACCGAGTTATTATAATCATTATTTTTGCCTTTGAGAATATTTTAAGGTTTATTTTCCATATCAAGAATTATTCATTTTTGTGAATTAGAATTATTATAATTCATGCTAATTTGATGCATGTTTCGAAATTTTACCCGGAAAAGAAAATTCATAATAATTTATTCCATTTTGGTGATTTTGTGAATTATAATAAATAATTAACAACTAAAAATTTTATACCTATATTAATTATCTAATAAAACTGTTCTAAAATTATAAAATATTAATTTAATAAATTGATACTTTATTTTAGAAGAAGAAAAAATAAATCACTATGACTAATAATAATAAGCAATGTTATACAATAAATAAGCTACCCCATCCCCTCATCTTCTGCCACAATGAAGTAAGATTGAAAATTAGACAAGCAAATTAAAAAATTTTCACATTCGCAAATAATATAATTAAAGTGACTTTAAATAATTACGGATAAGTTAATAACAATAGAAATATTTTATATTAAAAAGATGGCAACAATAGAAAGAGGAATAAATGTAATATCTAGAAATATTTTTTAACCATATTTAAAAAAAAAAAAAATTATCCAACTATTATGCAATGAATAATGAGGGAAAAAAAGTGAATAAATCTTAAAGAAGACATAGTAGATAAGAATATTATAATATAATAACTAGTATTTTTATTTTTTAAATTAATAGGGATAAAGTTTTAATGTAATGATATACCTGATATACCTGACCTGACTAGAGATAATATTTTCTGACCTGATAACCTGCTAAAAAAAGTGAATTTTTTTTATTTCAATATTATCTTCTTTTTTATAATAAAAAAAAATAGATTTAAACTCAATATTAATTTATATTAAACCGATCCGAAAAAAAAATTGTTACTTAAAATAATAAAAATTAAACAGTAATATGAATAAGGTGATAATGTAAATCTAATAGATCGAATCACTAGGCATAAAATGAAATATATACAATTATAATTATCCTTTGATTGTGTCGGTATCGTTAATTTACCAATTTCAGTTGCAAATTAAACTTGATAATAAATATATTACTATTATGAAGACAAAGTTTTACGAATTACGAAATCTCGAGATCAAACGGAAAACTCCCATTTTTTTCATGTCCAATTTTTTTAAAAATAGAATTTTTTATTTGACCTATCTAGTATTTTTTAAAAGAAGGTAAATAAATAGAAGTACGATATGATCTAGTGTTGTTAAAAGCTCGATATATTCGATTTTTAAAAACGGCTCACTCAATATTTTATCCAGAAACCTAAGCCTCGAGATTTCGCTAATAGATATTCAAACCTTTGTGCCATCTATGAGCAAAATCTTCAGGCTTGTGTAATATTTTTCTGGATAAAATTTTGAGTTTTTTTTTAAATCAGCTCAACGAGCGGTTATAACAACATTAATCTGATCAATAGCTTTAAAAACAGGTTCAAATTAGAAAAAATAATCGATCATTTTAAAAAAAACTTTTAAATTCAATTAGTGACTTTTAAAATAGATTTTGATATATATATCTTGTAGTGGAGTTGTCAATTCGGATTTGGGAAATTTTCCCATCATTCAAACCCAGCCTGACCCGGATTTTTAAAATCCTCCTTTCCCGATACGGGTTGAATATATGAAGACCGAGTTTCCGGCTGGGTTCGCTGGTTTCTTAGGGATAGTCTCTAAATCACTAAAGATTGGGTCTAGTTTTATCTCCAAGAAATTTTTTAAAGCAATATTGAAAAAATAATATTAATAAATGCTAGGGAAGTAAACAATTGTATTTATATGGGTTCTTAAAAAATTGCTTAAAAGGGAGCATATATCTTAAAGCTTACGAATTTATTTTAATCTGATAATCTTGATGATATTTCCCCAATTTTTAGCAATTTTTTAAAGACCCAATTTAAATGTAGGAATCTACTTCCCTGGGCGTTTATTATAATTATTTTTAAATTGCTTTTAAAATTTTATAGGAGATATATAAGAGATTCCCAATTTTTAGTAGCGATTTTTGTTTTAGCGATTTAGAACGGTAACCATTTTTTTATTATTATTTTATTGGAGTTTATGTTTTTTTTAAAAATACATTTAGCTATATTTTCTATATATTTATAAATTATAATTGCTTATAATAATAATTTTGTTGTTAATGAATGAATTTTGTAACGTAAAACCCTAAATAATATTTTTAAGTTTAATTTACCTCCTTTTTGTGAATATAATTTTTCTTTTTGAGCATATTTTGTTGTTAAAGTAAATCCTCCTTTAATGCATTATTTTATGATCATCGGTGGAGAACACAGAATTTCCATCAAATTTACAGAATAAATTTTGTATCTGGGAGTAAAAAAGTTATATTATTATAATGAATATTATTGTTATTGTAAATATGAAATTTTATTTTAAGGGGGCATGACGAAAACATAGAATAATCTAAATCCATATCATAAAATAGAATACTTTTAACTCAGAATTTTGCTAAAAATAAAATCAACAGATTCAAGATGAGTCCTGCAAATCGGCCTGAAGTCCGGTTCGAAGTCGGGACAGAGCCTAAAAATTAAAAGGATTTTGAATCTGTTCGGGTTCAATTTTTTTTAAATTTAGTTAGGATTTTAAACCTAAGCCAGAGCTTTTGCTTAAAACCCAGGCTGAGAAATCTTTAAAACATTTAGAAATGGCGTAGTCAGAGACTTCTATACTCTCTCACCTCCTAAACTAATGATGGTTTTTACCCCCTCAAAAATTTGACCCTCTACCCTTCCTACCAAATCAAAATTAACAATTAAATTAAAATTAACAAAAATAGGAAATCCCCTGTGAGCAGACAGGATTTTGCTAAAAGATGGAGGGCACTATTATGTGCAATTTCCCCATAAATTTTTTTGTACGGTAAGCCTACTTATTGCAAGCTTTTATTTAAGTTACATTTGTTTAATGTAAATTAATTATGGTCAATATTTTAAAATAAAATTGTGAAAGAAGAGAGATATATGGGGTTTCCTAATAAATAAAATTTATTTTTGGCGTGGAGTTTTCTTCCATAGGTTATTGTGTTCCCCTCCTACACGATGTTAAAGAACATTTGGTAATCGAGTGTCGCATTATATATTATCGCATATTCTTGTCACGCCAATTCAAAGACTGTTTAAATTTCACATCTTGAAACGGCTCGTTATGCATATTCGTTACATTTGTCAATAGATTTATAACGGCAAGTGCATCAAAAAAATTTTTTTTTTATATCGTCCAATTTATTGAATGAAACAAAATATATTCCATAAATTACAAATTAACTTTATGGTCATCATTTTAATAATTTAATTTATTCATGTTTACGTCAAATCGATTAATTAAACTTTAGTTAAATAACGTAATTTCTAATTCAGAGTTAGAGCGAATCGCGTCAAATTATACAAAATATGCTGTAACTTTTTATTCTCAGCAGTGAATTCGCGCTAACTATGAATGAGGGGTAATATCTTAAATTGTCTAAAATACATAGGGGGAATTCATTTCAAGAAAAATTAGATTATTCCGATTTTTTTAAAAAACGCGCTAAATAAATGATTAAAATCGGGAATCCGAACCTTAATGAATATTGTTTCGGTTTAGGTTTAGGCTCAGACCAAAATAAAGGTTCACGATTCAGGTTAGGTTCGTAAGAAATAATAGTATCGGTTCGGTTCAACGTTTAAGAACCGGGTTAATTTTCTCACCCTTATTAGAAATGTCTAAATTGAAGCACATTTTTTAAAATTAGTCCCTATTCCCCTAAAATAATTACATTAAGCCATATAAAATAAAATATTTTCAGTATTCACCTTTGCCAATTATATTTATCAGGAGAAAGAAATAATCAAATGGCAACATACAAAAATATCTAAATATACTTACTGATACTAACAATCAAAATCGATTATTAATATACTTTAAAAGAGTTGGGATATCAAAAGGTTCAAACCGATTCATTTTAGAGGCTCAGTTCATGTTGGGGTAACAATATTTTTAATGGTTCATGGTCGGTTTAGGTTCTGTAAATAATAACGGTTTATACCATCTCTGATTTAAAGTTGGCAAATGGCTCATTATTATTGCGTTTTTTAGATCTGATTTTGCCAGTAATGTATTTCAATATATGTGTAGAATACCTATCCTATAAATTTTCGATAATTTGATCATGAATTTTTGAATTATTTTATTATATATACCGGCTAATAGCAATAATAGACTGATTACGTGAAAATTCAAGATCGCATTTAAAAAAATATATATTTCTTTTAAAAAAATATATATTTCTTTTATTTTAAATAGGAGATCACAATAAGTAATAATGTACATAATAGATTATTCTAAATTAAATTATAACATTTTTATTATTGATATGGAAGAATATAAGAATATACTACTGAAGAATATTGTTTTATTTTAATAGATTATATTATTTTTAAATTTTAAAAAATATATTAAAAAATAGCGTAACATATAAAACAAATAACATGTAAATTAAAAAAAATTAAAATACTTTCATTCAACCCCCCTTAGGAATATATTTATCTATTACTAAATGCTGACTGTGCAAGTGATTATGAAAGGAAACATTACCAAGTCGTAAACTAGGTAGCCTCTTATCAGATGAACAATTAAGAGTTGTCATAGACCATTGAATTATATGTAGCGTAATTCAACCACATTCATGCATAAAATGTAAAATATCAGTTGATTCCAAAGGGAGACATGGCCTTAATTGAATATATAGGCATACAGCAATCAATTCAGTTATTAGCCGTTATCTTACGACGGCCCGAATACCAAACATTAGAGTTTGTTAATTTATCATCAGATGATGGCCTAAGGCCAGATCGTTTAAATTCTGTACTTTAATCTTTAGGTAAATCTTTAAATTGGGACTTCACATGGGTCACTTCACTTTTAAAAAATGTAGATTCAAATCAAAAATTAAATATTTGAAATTAACAAATTATGTTTTTTACCAATCATTATTTCTTTATGTAAACCGGAACTTTAAAATTTATAAAAAATATAGGCGATAAAATAAGAGCCCTTACAGAACCCAAGGAATTTTATTTTTTAAACAAAATATCAAATTACTATTTTGTTTTTGGGGAACTTGTAGTCCCAATTCCGTTTTTATAAAATGAGCGCTTTTAAATTTCGTTTATTTATTATATTATAGTTTATGATTAGAATTTGGTTATACATTATGAATTATTACATTATGAAATTGTGTATTATACATAAACAACATTCCAATAACTTTAAAAATTTCTGTATTGCTCCTTTCTAAGAAAATATATTTAAATTCTTTTTGTAAAAAAAAATCATATAAACAATTTATAACAAGCCAAATATAAAAAACTTATGAAAAAACATATAAGAAGGGGAAAGGAGCAAAAGAGGCTCTACAGGAAACTAAGATAGTTGTCTCGAACGGCGATTTGAATTGATTGTAGGATTTTAAAAGAGGATCTATGATCACCATTAATTTGAGAAATTTATTTACCTAAAACTTAAAAAAATGATTGCCTATAGGGTCCCGTTGGTAAAAATAACTATTAGGATTTGGCTGTTATAATCAGATCGATGTTTGGGTTAGAGGTGAATTTGGAGACACAAGAGACATCCGAAATAAGATATTTTCCTCTGAACTAAGGAAATAATTGATCTATCAAGAATAAAAAATGAATTTTGTAAAGGTTATAAGACAATATAATATTCAACCAACAAAATTTTTACATTTTTTTTAAAGTATTATATCTACAAGTTATATCGTTCACCTTGCTCGGTATAAATAATAAAATCTTTTATAGTTATTTTTTTTTGTAATAAAGTTAATTGCAGTATTACAGTATATGAAATATATACCTTTTCAAAAATGTAATAGCTCATAGCTCCATTTAAAAAGTAATAAAAAACTTTTGAAGATCGTGACAATATTTTTTTAATAAACAATCATATTAATTCAAGGTTTACGCATTTTTAAGTTCTAAAGAAAAAGGGAAAGTTATTTTTGCTAAATTAAAATTAACATCTATTAAAGTCAGAGACTTAACACAACCATTTTGGAATGTATTTTGAGCCAGGCTTTAGGCCAGTGATTAAAGTTATGTCGTATTGGGAGGAATCTACGGATTCAGATATCGAGGGCGGTTTTTAGAATTTTTAAATTAGGTTTTATCGGAAATGGATTCTATCCTGTAAAGTCTAATTACACTATAAAATTTCAGATAATTTTAGCCATAAACATTTAATTTTCTTTTAAAGATTTATATGAAAAATTATAAATTAAGTTCACGGCTAAATTATTTTCACAGATGTGGTGTGGGTAACTCTATACATTCGGAAATACATTTTCGGACGAATCATAATTTTATTAGAAATCGCGTTCGGTAAATGATTTTATAACCTGGAGACTCCTGAATCCTCGTGGATTCCACATCCCAATACACACACACACATATATATATATAAAACTGTTAAATATACTATCATGGTTTTAGTTACTAACATTCCTTAAAAAAGTTGTGTTGTAATTTGTAGCATGCCTTTTTTCCATTGTAAATAATATATTCCTAAAAAGTTGGAAAAAAAGAAACTAATACATTTATGAGTTAGGAGGACCCTCCAACACGGGAATATTTTCATTAAAAGGTTTAGCGGGGTATGGAGTAGTTTGCATTTGTGATTTTTTTTAGGTAATTTCATCATAAAATAAAAATTAAATTCTCTTTTAGTATTTCCTCTATAAAATATTTATTACCCTGCATTTGTACTTAGCGCGAATTGCAACATATGCAAAATTCGCAGCGAAGAATACAAAAATACAGCATATTTTGTATACTTTGCCTCCAATTCGCGCCAATATAAATGCATTATCATCCTACCCCATTTCCTTCTAATCAAATATTATATTTATTACTTTCCTTGTCATGGTATTTCATGCCGGGCAATACATGCAAAAAAATGATTGCTTTTTAAAATATATTATGTAAAAGAATTTATATTTCATTAATTCAGAAATTTCATGCACAATATTTTTTTTTTTAAAAATCGGATCATGCTTTTATGTATAATTATTTTTGTTTGCCAACATAGATCCGAAACTAAAAATTGGTATTTGGTTGACATATGGAACAGAGACCAAAAGCCTTTAATCTAATATATCTATGGCTAGGTGTGAAAAATAAATACTTTAGATTCTTAGTATAAGGTTTAAAAAAAATTTCCACCGAGATACAGAAGCACATCACAAGCATGTTTTAAGAGTAATCATGCAAGATATAGCTGAAGATGATAAAGATAAAATGACTATATTGAAGTGTTTAACAAAGAAAATTTAATAAATCATCATAATACTAGTCCTCACAAAGTGGCTGAGATACTTTAAAAAGGGCTAAGTGAAAATCAAATTTTTATATATGATTAAAAAAAAATGGTGAACCTTTAGAGATATTTTACATGGATAATTATATCATTAAATTTAAGGTTTTTCTGACCATAGTCTTATCAAAAATGGTATCGATTTGAGCCTTATTTTGCATTTTTTTGTATGTTGACTATATTGCAGTTATTGCTGATAAGATAGAGCAAAAATTGATAGTTAGATTAATAAATATATTTTCATAAATTTACCTATAATCTTAATTGACGAATCAACACACGCCCTCAAATATATACCTATATTAATTTTATATAAAGTTATTGAATCGATATCCTGAATCAATATTTTTTTATTCTTATGATTTAATTGAGATGGCCAAGACAACATGCAGAAAATTACTGCAGATAGAATCTTTATCCTCAAATGTTCAATGTTGACATTCGAGATCTCAATCCCATGTTAGGATCCTGAATCCTTGAAGAATTCTATCCCGTCTTGACATATATTATTTTTGTTTTATTCATTTTTGATTGTTTTCTTAAAATGTTGATAATTTATTCAGAGTGTTTTGTTTAACAATTAAATTTTGAAAGCAACAATGTAATAAAATAATTTATTACTTCTTTTACTAAAGTGATAAATATTTCGTTCATGCATCATCACATTTTATATGAATATAATTATATTGTAAAAATTTTTTTAAATCTTTATCTTTTCTAATGAGAATGCAATTAAGCAATATTTTTGCATATGTATTTTGGTCATTTCTGACCTCTCAAAGAACCCCCCCCTCACCTCTCCATTCCGCAAAAAAATCTGCGAATAATTTGGGCCACTTTATCATTCGCATCATCAAGACCTGCCATTAAATTATATTTTACGCAATAACTTTAGCATAAATATGGTAAATATTGTAAAATAAAATAATGTTCATATTTATTTTTTATGTAAATAAACAAGTTTTGAAGAAAAAAAAATATCCCCCCAATCTTCGAAGATCATAAAATTAAAGATTTTTTTTAAGGAAGATGAAAAAAAAATTTATTGAGAAAGAAAGATGGATAGAAAGAAAGATAGATAGAAAGAAAGAAAGATAGATAGAAAGAAAGAAAGATAGATAGAAAGAAAGAAAGATAGATAGAAAGAAAGAAAGATAGATAGAAAGAAAGAAAGATAAATAGAAAGAAAGAAAAAAAGATGGTTAGAAAGAATAATATTTTTTAGATTTTTTTCAAAAAATATTTGGAATTTTAGGTAAAATCCAAAAATTATGCTTGAGGATCTCAAAAAACAAAAATCTTTGAAGCAAATATTAAAATACACATTTTAAGTGGCATGTTTTTTTCATTCTTTGTATATTTTTTAGGCCAACAAAGCCTTTGTTTAAAACCCAGGCCGGGAAATCTTTAAAACATTTAGAATAAGCAGTGAATTCCCCACATCCTAATGAAAATTTTATACCCCTCAAAAATTTAACCCTTTACCCTCCCCCTTCATAATCAAAATTAGCAATTAAATTAAAATAAACAAAAATATACAATCCATATCACCCTCATACCCCTATCCAACTATATTTAAATTACGATAACGTTGTAATAATTTCCTGCCCCACTCCAATTTCAATGCCGAATTAGCATTTTAAACCTCTCCAACTCAACGTATAGAAGTCCCTGAGCAGTCAAAACATGTTACTGATGAGTGAAGTATTTTGTCCTAACTAACTGGGCCAGAAAAAAGTAAAAGACCATAAGCGTATAATTTGCTTTGTTAAATATCATTTTAGAATCAATAAAAATTACGCCCTTAATATCCCTCACACCCTCTCTATTCAAAAAATGGTTTAAGTGGGCCTATAGCAGGGCCTTCCAATAAAATTTATGGAAAAAACTCCACCTCAATAGTGCTTCTCTTCTTAGAAAAATCCTAGCTGAATTTACATTTTTTTGAGGTAATCTTGGATGAGTTTCTGGTAAATTATTTAACTTTTATCAGAACTTAATGAGTGTTGTATTTTAATTTAATCAAAACTTAGTTGTCTTTTTTACCTCTTAGCTGAATAGTGATCCTAGAAACAAAATTAGAAGTCACATAAATAGTTTGAACCAAGAATATCGAATAGCTAATTGATGGGCTTAATGTTCCCTTCTCAATTAACAAGAATATACAAGAAATGATGATATACAAGGAATTTTGACAATATCTCAAACTAAATACTGAGTATATTCAGGCTTCGGCTAATATTTTTTAATATCATGAATTATTTAATTTTTTGGTCATTTTTTTTGCTCTTTAAAGATGTTACAAAAAAAATTTTATATATATTTTTTTCACTTTATAATTTCATGCTAAATATTTATTTTATTATTTTTTTTCACCTTCTATCTTATCATATAAAAATTTTTATTTTTATATTTTGTTTATATAATATATTTATCATAATCATCTTCATTTTTTTCTTCTTCTTAAATGTCTTTTGAAAAGAATAAAAAAATTAATAATATGTGATAATATAAAAATTAATATTTCTTGGAGCTATAATATCCATAAGATTACACCACTTATTTTTAGTATTTATTTTTATTTACATATTAATGTGATTCTTAATTTTTTATAAGATTTTTATTTTATTTATTAACCTTATTTTCTCACTTTTTATTTTATAATATATACTTTTTAATAATCCGGTGCTCGCGTGAAGATATTAAATCTTTTAAATACCAGGTTCAACATTTTTTATCAAATCATTTTTCCTGGGGCGCGGCCAGCTTTTGCTCGTTCTACTGGGTGATGGTGATAAATTCAATTTTGGTTCATTTATATATAATTAATAACTTGTTTTATAAATTTTACCAACTTGTATAAGTCTATATTAATATAAAATTTGTTTATTCATCCTTCATCGTAGAAATAAGCACAAATATATAGCAGTGGCCCCTACACTTTCTGAGCGAATGAAGCAGAATACCCCCCCCCCCCTGAAAAGTACCCCCCCCTTCGAAAAAATAATTATTATTCTATGACACCTATAAATTTCAAAAATAATTTTTCTTGCATCAATTTTTAATAAATATAAATATAATGCAAAAAATATATACTTTATAAATATTATTTTTAAATTCATAATTTAGATAAATTAGGGGAAGAGAAATATTTTATAATTTCAATATTTAATTGTTTAAATAAATTTTTTCCATTGATAATATGGTTAAATAGAAATGAATCTTTCATGGTACTACGAAGTCTTGTTTTAATTAATTTAATTTTACTCATGACTCTTTCGGCAGTACATGAAGTTGCAGGAATGGTTAATAAATATTTATATAGAATTGTTAAATTAGGGAAAACAGAAAAATTTTAAAGTAGACGATAAGGTAAAATAAATGAATAGTTTTTCCAATCTGAATCATAAGTCCCTGAATTATCATCATCATCAGAAGAAGCTAAATAATGTATTAGTAAAAATATTTTAATAAAATAAATTTACAATTCTCAATCTGACAAATCTTTAGATTCTTGAACCTCTAGGTCATGAGTAATAATTACATTCCCCATTTTGGCCATCTTATAAATATTTCTAAACTTCAACATTTCTTCGAAAATTTGACTTGAATTTAAATTGTAAAATTCACAGATATCCTCGATATCTTCCTTAATAATTGATTTTTCTGCCACATTATTTGACGTAAAAAATTATGTTTGATGTTAAAATTTCATCGAATCATCATTAAATCTTTCGTCAAACTGCAATAATTAAATCGAGTGCAGCATAAAACACACCTATTTTAAAGCAAAAAAATTTCTATATTTAATGATGAAAGTATATATATACTTCTCCTTTTTGGATTGTAATGTTTGAAGTCTAGAACTTTCAAAATCAAAAGGTAGATTTCTCTCCTTCATAAAATCTTTTGCCTTTGAAAAAACATCCAAAAATTAAGTGTTATTATCTATTAGATTAAAAAATAATTAAGACAATAATTTATATTATACTTCTCAAATTAATCAAGCAATCTTTTGCCAATTGAATTTGATTTATTGCAAACCCTATATCCTTCGAAATGGTTTGCAATTTTGTACAAGCCAAACTTGTTATCAACAATATTTTATCCAAAACACAAAGTGATAAGATAAAATCAAATTTTTCTATTCTAAAAACTATAGCACTAGCCATAGTGGAAGTGGCAGGATCTTCAGAATCCTTTAAATTTGTCAAAGCTGCCCTCAAGGCATCATAAAGTAGAAAAAAATTTACAATAGCTTTATATGACAATAGCCAGCTTCTAAATAAAAAAACATTTTAAATCTAAATAAATAAGGTATACTATTACAGAGTGGTATTCTTGATGTGTAGAAATCGTTGCGATTTTTTCAGATCATTACACTGACATTTTTTGAGTACCTCATATCTTTTTACACCATTAAAATAGATATAAATCTCATCTAGTATTCCTAGAACATTTCGAAGTTCTTTAATTGATTGGCATAATTGAACAATGATTAAATTTAATCGATGACAATAACACCAAATAAAAGCTGCCTTTGGCGCCTCTGCTCTAGGCCTGTACACCATTGATTCTTCCACTCATGTTTGAGGCGCCATCATAACTTTGCCCAACTAGAAATTCTAGGGGTAAATTCATCGAGCCAAATTTGTATATTATATTATGCTTGATATCGAGACCTGTGGTATTTCCCATACAATATATGTCATTCAGTCTTTCAACAGGCTTTGGCGTCTCACTATTTTCAACATATCATACTATCAAAGCTATTGCTTCTGATTTCGAAACATCATATGTGCCATCAACTATGATTGAAAAGCACCTGTTAAATGTAATCTAAGGGGTGGGAGGGGGGTTTTATTATTACATTTATAAACCAGAAATCACTTTATCATGATGGATGTAACAAAACAGTAAAAGAATTAAATAATAAAGAAAATTTTAAAAAAAAGGTACCCCCACTCAAATTTATTGAAGCAGTTGCTTCGCCCCCCCCCGTTGTAGGGGCAACTGCTATATAGTAATTTAGCTAAGTTTTTGAACCAATCGAGGGAGAAAACAACATAGTAACACAAATTTGTCACACATTTTTTTTTCAAATATTAATAATATATAGCAAAAGTAAAATGGTACTTAATAAGGGGCAAGACAACAATCTATTAAAACTAATAAAATATATATATAAATAAATTCTTTAAAAAATAGTAAAAAAGTAGTAAATGTGGTAGACCTGGTAACCCTATTTATGACGGCCAATTTTAAATTTGAGAAAAAATATATTTCACCGGAAAGGTATTCCTTCCTAGACCAACCGAATACATATGAATTTCTGATATATTTCTAAACTACTCACAATTTATATATATAAATTTTAAAAATACCAAAAGAATTTGCTGTTTATCCTGGAATACATTTCCAGTAAAAATCAAATTTTCAAATATAAAAATTCTTTCGTAAATTATTTGCATGTAGAAATTCTGGATAATAGGTTATCCCGAATAAATTACTCACCACATATAAAGCATATGAAAGGTGCCAACTTAGTCTTTTTTTCGAGAGACAGAAAGTGGAATACAAGGGTGTCGTTTCTACTTCGAAGGTTGGTTAGAAGTGTATCAGAGTTATTAACTTGATTAGCTTCCTAGCCTGGACATATTCATAGATCCTAAATCCTTAACCTTATCTAATTAATTAGATCGAAAATTTTTGGAAGGATAGTTTTTTTTTGAATGAATGTTTTCTTTTGCCCTATCACTACCAAATTCCTAGTAATATATTAATTTGAAAATTGAAATAATATTGATTAATGACTAAACATAAATTATATTTAAAATTTTTTTAAAAAATAAGCAAGAATAATCTTTAAATCCGGCAGAAAGAGGCTAATACTAATATTTTTTATTAGGTATATATTTATATCTAAAGGAATGAGCGAATACAGTAGGGCTACTCAATGATTTTTCAGTATGAGATACTTATAGGGTTGGTAGCGATGAGTCTTATGATATAATATATAGGTTACAATTCATTGACAATTTATTTTTTACAAATTATTTAAAGCAAAATCTATTTTTCCTTCCTTAATTTTGGTAATGAATACGATTTTATTTTATGTAATATTATAATTGAAAAACTATTCAATATTTTGCGTAATTTATTCATCGAAATGAAACATTATTATTTTCATATTTATCATAATTATGTCGGTAAATATGGGGAGGAAGAGGATATAATTGAAATATTTAAGCATAAATTATTTCCCGATTAACTAAATCTTTAATTCATACACTACAATTAATATTATGTAAAAATTATTTGTTTTTATGATCAATTCCTGTTGATTGCCTTTAAAAAACAAAACATAAATTATGAAAATTAAGGTTATTATTCTAATCTATAATTTGTATTTTGTAATAATGATAAACTTAGACTGAAAAAAATGAGCTTGAGGTTTGGAAAATAGGAAATTCAGAATTTATAATTGCAGCATTTGTCAACCAAATTTCGACTAAACAATATTTTCCTGCATTTAGCATTTTAATTTATTGCCTGTCCTATAAATCTTTTAATTTACAATATCGCATTGTTTTAACGATTTCTGATTTCTCGTTTCTGGTTATCGCGTTTTTAATTTACGGTCTTTAAAGATAGTTTAGAGGTAGATTGAGATAGTGCCGAAAAGTTTGCCACCCGCGTCCTGTTAACTATATTATTTTTTATCCCACATCCCAAAACCTCAGTCGATTGCTAAAAATCCATAAATCAAAAGTAACAGCTCGATTTCTTTCATTATTTTCACAAAATATGATTGTGATTTGTTACTTGATTTTTTTTAAATGTCCCAAAAATACACATTTTCTCTCCGTTCACCCCCAATTAAATAGAAGATCTGCTGTATGGATCACTTAAAAAATTTAAATTATTTGTGGAATTTTATTATATTAATTTAGCGACTCCTTTTGGATCCTAACAGCATTCCCTGTAAGAGTGGTGGTATCGGTCTTCGATCTCCTTCACAACTATCCATCTCAGCAATTATTTATTTTTTCCAGACTAAGTACGGAACCTTAAATACCAGATATTATAGATAATTTGTGAACAACCCTAAATGTTCAGAAAGATTGGATCAACCTTAAAAAAGCCTCCAACATTAACCTTAGAGCCATTAT